ATGGGAATTATTAAATTCTTGTAAGATGCAGTTGAAGTCCGAGTTATCGTAGCAGACTATAAAGGTATCGTCAACGTACCTTTTGTATAGTAGTAATTTGTTTATTGTTGATTTTAAAACTCCACTCTCCATACTGGCCATAAAGTAGTCTGCTAAAAGCGGGCCAAGAGGAGATCCCATTGCAATTCCATCTTTTTGTATGTAGAGGTAGATCTCAGACATACAGCATGGACAACATTTTATATATTACGCAACGTTTTACAGAATCAATGATTGTTTGTTTCTGAAGTGAAAATATATGACAGTACAAGAAGAAAACTCTGCACTACTTGTTATGAGCAGGTGAGTAATACTACTGTCGACAACAGAGTTATAACCAGAACACCACAGATTATTTCAGTTTGATTATCAGACAACATGACCGACAATAGCATTGTGAAAACGACAATGTTAATCATGGCTTCCGATCAGAGACCACCATATGCTTGTCTAACTAGCTGATCGGTAGAGACAGATAGGTGATTCATGAAATGTTACTGCAACTTAATTCCTTCAGCCACGTGTGTTTGATTGATATTACTCCGAAACACAGTGCAACACAACTACTGTCAATACTTATCAGCTGTCTCATGTATGGCGATTATGTTGACATCATGCAAGAGACATACTGTTCCAGAAGGCTTACAATTCTTGTATCTCAAAATTAGCTTATAAGTAGAATAGGGATAGAATCTCTTCAGAGATTTAATACCGTAAACGTGAGTAATTGTCAAAGATCACATGAAAGTGTAATGTGACGATGTTGAAGACAGATAATATTCGGGGCAAAAGAATATCCAGTTTCCTCACACCTTCTGGTGTTATCTCTGTTGAAGCTGCCTCCTATTTTGTTTTTTATTTAGTGATATACTAATTCGCGAAACCACACTCAATAAATTATTGAATAAACAAAGTCTTACCTCAAGGTTACGTTTCTCACTTCTAGCATGATGGAGGTGGGTGTTCTTTTCACTCTTCCCAAAATGTTCTCTTGACTTGTCTGTCCGATTATCTTCCGTGATGTCAACCTCACGCTTTGAGTCACTCAAGTATGTCGCAGATTGTCCACTTTTTCAGCAGAATGTGATCAAACAATACTGATGTTATCAAAATGGAACTACTACTCGTCAATTGTTTTTTGTTAAATTCACTCCTCTTGTTCTAACTCAAATGTGAATATGTTAAAATTCGAATTCAACCAACAATTTACTATAAAATGAACGCATTTACGAGAATGACTGAGTAAACTGTAGGAGTGAGATGATGCCAATATTATTATCTAGGTCAAATACTCTATCTTTGTTTTATTGACTGTGTGATTAGAAGAGAACTTTGACCTGTATTCACTGAACACAGGATTCACATTCATGTCATTGAAGTGCACACGGTAAATATTTGGCCCAGAAAATAATCATGAGATTCAACAAGAAGCAATGAAGCACTTCATTCTAAAATGCATAGACCTCATGTCCTCCTGTCCATCTGTGTAAACTCTAGAAAGTATATACATAAAATGTCTATCGCAGCACAGCTCAGTCGATTGAGCGTAACTGTGAACTAGCCTCCAGTTAAGATGAAATGGGTGATCGATCACAACAATATTATGCTATCTTTGTTGTCTCGACCATTAAGCCACTGGTCTACGAGCTCGCCTTGTAACCATAATGTCTTGTGTCTGAACCCTGGTGGTGGGTGCGTACTGATGAGGAAACAGCTGTCGAGTACTGCGAGGTCCTCCAGTGTTTCTCCAACTAATATCAGCTCATGATGAAGTCCTATAAACAATCAATCAAATCCCTACAAACCAATACTTGAAACTGTTTTTAATTGGCTATCAAATTTAGACAGAAATAACAACAATAATTCTGTAGTATGGAATCTATACTAATGCGAGAAACATGAATACCAGGTACACGATTTCATCACAAGCGTTTCAGTTCAGCCATTTCAGAAAATGCGAAACCACAGATCTGTATAAATAATTTGAATAGTGTTATAAAATGATGATGTTTCTCCTCTACTTAGGTGTAACTCGAAAAATACAAATCGATTGCAACTTAATTCCCCACTAAGGGGTTGTGACTATTAGTGAATTTAGGCGATGTACAAAAGATGTCGAAATCTAGCCCTCATAGCTTCTATACGGTTCAGCCTGTTCAGTGTATCTTTTAATAGTATTAATAGTCCGGCGGTTGACTAAGATAGATGTAACTCATACTGCTAATTTTGAAATATTATTTGATTGATAATCTGGCATGAATTCGTCATTTTCATCACCAGCAATGGGGGACATTTTATATTCAAAATCATGTTTATTTTATGCAACTGGAATCGATCATTTTTCAGGAACCAGCATGAATCTGTAGGATCAGAAATTTTATGCTACACAAAGTCGAAATGCTTCATGTTTTCGACCGGAATCATAGAGCTAGTACACAATTTCGACTTCTTTGCAGTGTTACTTCTAAAGTATACATCGCTTAGTAATGTGTTACCTGACACAAGATCATTTTGCGTTCTGTGCACTACAGATTTACTGGCTACCAAAGTGCACTAAAATGATACCCAAAGATAGACGTTTCACAGGTGATATCGTTAATTCCGGTTTGTTTTTAATGCGCTGTTTCTTCTGAATACAGAAGATGATGTGAGCACATGGGAGTTAGTCAAGTGAGAGGTAATTTTCTCCATTAACGAAACTGAAGTGTAAGCCTTCTTGTAAACACTGCATATGTTTCATTGAGTCCTGTAGACTTGGGCGTATTCGCAATTCTCTCTCTGCTCAAAGTAACTTATGTTTGAATCTTGACTATATATTCTTTTACCTTGTGAATTCATTGTCACATGGAGTGTGTGAAATGATTCGTCGAAAGTCGAATATTCAGTCTTAGGAAAAAATGCAGGATATAATTTAGACAGAAAGCAAGATGGTTGTTTCGAGACAATTTTCAGCACAAATCAAGCCATTTTTCCGGTAACGCTTATGACTGTGGAAATGTAGAGCAAGTAAATAGAAGATTCAAATGGTTGTTCCATGCAAATGAAACGCGACAACTTATTCTGTGTTTGCTCAAACTGTAAGTTTATAATCCTTTACAAATCCACGTACACATATTATACGTTTACGGAGAATAATTTTACAAGTGTTTGTGGAATATCTGACGTTGTATTTCTGAACATTGCTCTTCGTTTGTTACACATTTATCTTACGCGGTTAGATACTTTCGCGTTCGCCTCGCACTTTTGGAAATTTGATTTCGTTAACAACACATCTTTCCACTTGTGCTTCTCAATACAGTGTTGTTCTTCTTTGGCAGTGAACAGCGTCACCACATAACAGAACGTGAAAACATTATTATAACTATAGAGTTATAATCGAAACCCCATTAAGTACTGCATGAATTTATGAACTGGACGTATGGAAACTCATTCCGGATAATAAGCTTCCTAACTATGTTGAATCTATACACTTTGCATATTTTGAACTCATTTTGTGAGTGAGTCATTGGAACTCCTTAGGCACTTGATCGATTGTCGAGGAATTGTGCCAGTCCCTGACAATGTGAATGGTATAAGGAATAATCCGCTACCTTACTGTTCAAAGAAGATACAAGAATTTCAAGGTTATTCATCAGTTTTTAACGTTATTCTATCCCAAATGCGCAATAGTTTCGCAACGGTTTACTGACTGCTTACGTAAATACAGCGCTTACATCATGTGAACCGTGGAGACAGTAAAAGCTGTACCTTCCAGCATGTGGAAAGCATGAGTTTGGTGGCCAGATAAACAGCTGGTAATTCTCCACCGAAGGTGCTATAGCGACACTAAGTAGGAATCAGTCGTTTTGAAAAGAATGCGAAGGGCTGGCATTCACCGAGTACTTGTTGTGGCAGAACCGCCCTAATGGCAACGTTTGAGTTGTTCGGCATGAGGGAAAAAATGCGCATTATCTTTGCTTCTGACTGTGAGTGTCTTCTCGTTTAACAGCTGGTTATTAGCAAAACAACACAACAACTCACCCAGTGAACTAAGAAATCCTGAGTTCATATTGCATCTCAACTCAGATATAAGACACGTAAAAGGTAACAATAATGAAGTTGCAGACGCTTTGTTACGTTCGCACATAAACAATATTGCATTTTACAGTGTCGATTGTGAACATCTCACCATCCTACGATGAATTGATGGTTCGATAGCGAAGATTGAATTTCGAGGAGAGATTTACAACAAAAAACTTCGTCATTGGACGAACCAAGAACTAATCAATATGCGCCAGGAAACCTGGATGTACTGGATATGGCCTGATAAGACTGTTTGACTGATACGAAGAAGAAACTTAAATGAAATGCGAACGGGAAATGACGAATTCAGTGTTTTTCTAAGGTTAAAATATAGAACATCGCCTCAGGAGCAAATGAAGGCGTATGGGGATTCATTAAGTCAGCCGGAAACTACTCCAGAGGACTCGGTGAGGTGGACATGGGCTGTTGAAGCGCCGAATTCCACTGGAAACCCTATGCAATAATGAAATGTATCAAATAATAATAATAATAATAATCACTAGCTGGCTTCTGCATTCGAAATAAGTATAATATATACATTTATTAATAATGAAACTGGAAGGTGAAATTGATACAATATTTAAAACTAAACAGAATAGAACAAGTGATTCGACAAAGATGATTACAATTTACTGTCGAAATGAGAATGGTGTGATGCAAAAGTGGATGAGAGCGACTCACATTTATACAAATCGTGATGATGTCATATAAAAATAACATATGGTAAACGAAATTATGAACGAGTACTGATATCTCTGATAAATGTGAATGAACACGTTTTATTCCTCCACCTTTTCATTTGTAGACAGAAATATCTGGATGTTTTCATAAGCGAAACGTATCGAGTGTTAGCGAAATCATAGAAATACCAATGTTTTCACTTGGAATGAGATTCTTGTTTATTTCTCCGCTGATGGGTGTTCAGATTCAGCTGGAGGTGAGGGTTTCGATCCGTCATTGCCGGACATTGGTAGTCCGAGTGGAGGGGACTGTCCACCTGAAGGTGGTTGGTACATCGGTGCAGATCCCTGTGGGGATCCTGGAGGAGGGGGTGGTGGTAACTGAGGAGTTCGCCCATCAGATGGCGGTGGTGAGAATTGTGGAGGTTGTGCGAATGGTGGAGGTGGTTCATATTGTGGAGGTTGCCCATTCGATGGCGGTGGAACGATTTGTGGAGGTTGACCACCTGATGGCGGTGGCCCAGAGTGTGGAGGTTGCCCATTCGATGGCGGTGGAACGAATTGTGGTGGTTGTCCGAATGGTGGAGGTGGTCCATATTGCGGAGGTTGCCCATTCGATGGCGGTGGAACGATTTGTGGAGGTTGACCACCTGATGGCGGTGGCCCAGAGTGTGGAGGTTGCCCATTCGATGGCGGTGGAACGAATTGTGGTGGTTGTCCGAATGGTGGAGTTGGTTCATATTGTGGAGGTTGCCCATTCGATGGCGGTGGAACGATTTGTGGAGGTTGACCACCTGATGGCGGTGGCCCAGAGTGTGGAGGTTGCCCATTCGATGGCGGTGGAACGAATTGTGGTGGTTGTCCGAATGGTGGAGTTGGTTCATATTGTGGAGGTTGCCCATTCGATGGCGGTGGAACGATTTGTGGAGGTTGACCACCTGATGGCGGTGGCCCAGAGTGTGGAGGTTGCCCATTCGATGGCGGTGGAACGAATTGTGGAGGTTGTGCGAATGGTGGAGTTGGTTCATATGGGTGACCACCTGATGGCGGTGGCCCAGAGTGTGGAGGTTGCCCATTCGATGGCGGTGGAACGAATTGTGGAGGTTGACCACCTGATGGCGGTGGCCCAGAGTGTGGAGGTTGCCCATTCGATGGCGGTGGAACGAATTGTGGAGGTTGACCACCTGATGGCGGTGGAAAGAATTGTGGTGGTTTTCCGAATGGTGGAGGTTGTGCGAATGGAGGAGGTTGTGCGAATGGTGGAGGTGGTGCGAGCTGTGGCGGTTGTCCGAATGATGGTGGTGATGCGAATGGTGGAGGTGGTGCGAATAGTGGAGGAGGTCCGAATGGTGGCTGTGGTCCAGCGAAGGGTGGATATTGTGGAAGTCTATTTTCGTTCAATGGAATACCTAGTGCACAGCGTAAAATAATTGAAACAGGTTCAATCACATTCAAAATATGGAATTAAGTAATTTATTTTGATAACAATCCGCACATAGTTAGACCAACTTTTATGTCAGTCAGACTATGTTATTCCCAGATAATTTCTCGAGAATAACTGCACAATTATTATTTCGAAAAGAATGCACAAAATCAGGCTACTAGCTTCTGAGCTGCTCAGTGTTTCCCTTTCTGGAAGTTCAAGAAATAATAAAGTGTCATGAAAGAGTAATATATCTGTCAGATCAAGAGTATTAATCCTAAACACAAAATCAGTATCACTTTCATGAGCAACGCTTTGACGCCAAACTAATCTGTGCTAAATAGTCCTATAAAATCCATCAGAAGATACCCACGATTTCCAACACACTCCTAAGAGCTTTCCGAAGTGAACCTCAAGTGGGGGACTACAAGGGATATTTTCATGTGACTTCAAGCGTTTACTTGCAAAACCGATTCTAATTTTCTCGCTTGTGCATTTCAGCAGTAATATGAAATAAAGCCTGAATTTCATAAAATGTGCAAAGCAGTGATATTGATATTATTTTTAAAATCATACGTTAACAAGCTGTAAAGTAGTGGCTGAGTCATATCTCGTTGTCTCCACGTCTTAATGTAGAAGATTAGATGGGAAGTGTTCTTGGAAATCGATATGATACATGATGACGAAGGAAGAGAGGTCAGGGGATAATTCTACTTCACGGTATTTAATGCTTGACTAAGTTTCTGTTTCAGTACCCTCTTCGCTGGAAACAGCTTTTGAAGCATCTACACCTTAATGTCAAGTTAATTGACTGAAATTTAGAGGTGTTGAAGCAAAAATCATTTAGCTTAGACCATTGTCTGATATCCGAAGAGTAGCTGTTAAGTTTGGAACAATCAGATCGAGACGTATTTGTCAGCGAGACAATGAGAGGGAATATTCCTGACTAAGTGTTTGAATGTTTGGCTGATTAAACTTCTATCGGCATACTACGCTTGATTAATCGTGTTTTATGTGTATTAATACAGCAAAGTAGGACGTCAGTTCATATGTACGTGTAACAATAACTCAGTTCAAGCCGACTTACTGTTTATGTGAACATTATAAATGTCAGCACCGATTAGTAGAAACAAGAGGATACTTCGCATAATTTTCACACACTTTTCGCAGTAATCAACCAGATGAGAACAATTCTATGAAGAAAGAAGGAAAACAAGTTTGATGCGATGAACAGAATGAAAATACGATGATAATATCGCGTATACTTGTAATCCTCACTTCTTTGGTATATATAACTTTAACGCACAGAATAACCGAGGCTAACTGGAAACGATAATTATTTCTGGACTTTGAAAGCCGATTACTTATTGCGTGTATCGGACTCACAATGTCAAGAGAAATATACTTACGTAGACACATTAAGTAGTCAAAAGTTGGACAGGACAATGCAGACCGCATATGCTAATTATGTTGTAAAGTGTTAGAGATAGATACGTGCGTAATTTACAATTTGCCATTATAATTTGTGCATTTTACACTTAAATATTTAAGGACTGTTTCTCCAGCCATGAAATATGAAAGATGTTGGGAAGCAATGTTTATCGTCAAAGGTTCATGAATAATATTACAGCACCCGTGAGCAGAATATTGAGAACATGGCTAGCCAGAGCCTATCATGCAGCCAAGCTGGTTTCCATCTATCGAACAACTTGTTCTTTGGTACAGTCAAAAATAGACTGATATCCTTGTCACGTTAACTCCAACTGTATATACAAATTTACATGTATCTGCGGAAGCAGTTACATTGTGAGAACAGAAAGAATGGCAAACCTACGATTTTCTAAACTTGTACTAAAGGGCCTATGTCTGAAGGGAACAGATGCTTTGAACAGTGCCCTCGCCAGGAATCTCCTTGACACGCGTCATGAGGTGGACTTCGAAAGATCATTCAAACCTATCAGTAGGCGAGGAACAGTGTTTAATTCTCCTCAAGTTTGCCGAAGCAATATCCATGAAGCGGGTTGAATCCGATTAATGCGTTGAGAAAGAAGCGAATGTCAGTGTTTCTTTTCACTTCTAACTCGACATTTTCATCCTGTCTTTCATCTGATTACACAATGTCGAATGTTTCCATTGTGTATGATCATTATTGTTCAGAATAAAGTGTTTATTATCATTACCAGCATTATATACATATAATGACTGAATAATTCTTGTTTAAAGATGAACTCTGCAAGGATGTCAAGATTGTTTATATACGTTTAATTAATGATGTCTTTGAGTTGTGAGCAGGTGATAAGAAGCCGACAAAATAAATGATGGTACCATTCTACTCTGCAAAACTGTTGTTCTGGCTTCGTTCAGATTCATAGAGCGTAATAAATGTATGAAGTACAAAGGTGTTTAATGGTGATTGTAATAATAATAATCAATAATAATATTAATAATTAATAATGATGGCAGTTAGACGTACCAATTTCTCTAGCGACAGATGAACTGATTCGTTAAATATAACTGTAGCATTTATATAGTTTTTACCTGTTACACAATCACAGTTTATTATCACATGTTTACCTCAATTTAATTAGGTCATTCGACTTCTTGTGTGACTGTTTCGAATCAATCACATCACTCGTACATCAGTTATTTTATTAGAAATAAATAACACTTAATAGTAAATTGTCTTCACATAAGGTGTATTTTATGTTTTTGTTTGATAGTACAGTTACACACTGTTTGACACGTTTTTAGACATGAAGTTGTCCCTCAAGATATGATGATTGGTGTCTAAGCGTTTATCTTGGTGAATGACTAATGAGTGACAACTTCGTGGGTGGTATTGAAGATGATTCAGTTGAGTGATGTTGACCTGATATACAGTGGATGTTTTTAACGCGTGTTATCTATTAGGTTTTGTAAAATGATGTAGGCTGTATGTCTATTACAGATAAAACTATTTTCTGTGATAAGTCTAATGAAATGATCGAATGATGAAATTAGGAGTATATTTGTGATGCATGCATTAAGGCTTCCCAACAAATGCCATTAGTCCAGTGAGTTTCTTCTTTAACTGGTCTTTATTAGAATAGACAGAAGGTTATAGACAGAAAAGCATATACAAAATGGTATAAAAGTTATACATATAACGAGAATGTGGGCATTTTCAGTGTTGTGGAATGATTTAAATGTCCAGTCGAATCATTTATTATTATTATTACTTCTCATTTTGATTCCGAATAACACAGCTCCACTTTGCTGTATTTTACGCCATCCTCTTCAGCTGGATCCACGATTCAGTAAACTCTCTTATGTCTATCTCACACGATCTCCTCTATGTCACCCTCGCACTGACGATTGACTCTCCGCTTCCCATCGGAATACCACTCGAGCGATGGCCTGCATTGCACGCGACGTCATTCGACGATAGCCTCAACGTGTACTGGATCCATCTCCATTTCCTCCTACATGTTTGTTGAGTAATCGGGTCTTGCTCCGTTGGTTTGTTATCAGCCAGAGTTTTCTTGTTGCTTATCCTTTCTTTCTGGCCATTCGATCTTCATTATGGAGTCAGTCAGTGAAGGTGGAAGCTATTGGTGAAAGTCTCTCATGTTGATGGTGGTTGGTGCTGGTTGTTATTGTTGTTGTGGTTCGTTGGTTATATTCATCAACTTCGTCCTCTCTATGTTCACTTGAAGTGCTGTCTTCGCTGCTGACCTCTTCATCCAGTTTGTCGATTTCAAGCTGCAATTCTTCGAGTTTGTGTGACAGTAGACATACATCATCCAGGCGCGAAATCTAGATCTTCTTAAGTCTTCGTATCTGTGGTCAAGCGTATTCCTGTCTTTTCACTGCCAATGCACATTCTGACGCATAATCCAGTCCACTGCAATGAGGAATATCATCAGTGATAGTAGGCAGCCAGCTTGTCTTACTCTTGAATTCACTTCGAGCGCCTCGCTGAGTTTCCCACTGTGGATCATCTGACACGTGACGCTGCCATAGGGGCAGCTGTTCGATGAGGATGACAAAGCCTCGGACACTGTACGCCGTAGTGTTGAAGTAGTTTCCAAATTACATTTCAGTCTACGCTGTCTGTCGGAGGCGTTTTCGAAGATGATGAAACTGAGGTGGAGTGGGCCTTGACCGACATTCTATTCTAGGCTGCGTTCTGCGATGATGATGCATAGAGTCGCAACTTGATGAGCTTTCCTGAATCCAGCCAGCTTGCTTCGATGTGGCTGGCTGATTTATGTATCCAGTGCACTCTCTATTCTCTACAGGATGATGCGACTTAGTATTTTAATCGGCGTGGACAAGAGCATTATTCCACGCCAGTTCTTACAGATTGAGTGATATATAATTCGGCCAAATACAAATTCCTAAGTTCATCCCTCTCTGTGTTTTGGTTGAATTCCTTTAATTCGGTGATTCCGAAATACAAATACTACTATTACAAATAATTACAACATTTTTGCGTCGCTATGGAATTAAATAATCTTGGAAATTTTCCTATAAATGGTTCACCGCGGGAAATCGCCGATTATCTTGAATGCTTCGACGCATGTTGCATGTCAAAGAATGTTCGCGATGATAAAATTCCAGCTCATTTTATTACTGCTATCGGGCTAGATGCGTACAGCCTAATGAAAACTCATTTATTTCCAGATAAACCAATTTCTCTGTCATATGATAAACTCCGTGAACTTTCAACAATTCACTTCCACATAGCGACGTTCGAAACACGAGAGAGGGCTCAGTCCAATAAACTTGTTCGTGCTCCCAACCAGAAGATTAGAGAATTTATTCTTCAGCTTCAGATACAAGCTTCAAAGTGCAACTTTGGAGATCAGCTGCATACTCAACTACGTGATCATCTAATTGCTGGAATCAATATTCCTAAGTCAGAGAAAGTGTTGATTCAGATTCCTTCCTGCTCCTTTCAAACTTCTAAGGATTTATGTATTACATATGAAGGTGTCAACAGTG